AGATAGATGGATAATGAAGGAGATAGATGATAGATAGATAGATAGATAGATAGATAGATAGATAGATAGATAGATAGATGGATATGATAGATGGATGGATGGATGGATGGATGGATGGATGGATGGAGATAGATAGGTAAATAGATAGATGATAGAAATATGAGAGAGAGAGATGACAGATAGACAGACAGATATATAGACAGATGTATAGACAGATATATATATAGACAGATATATAGACAGATAGACAGACAGATCAATAGATAGATCGATCTGATATAAAGATGATATAAAGACAGATGATAGAACAGCTGGCCTCCAGAAGTGCTGGGAGCTCCATCCCTGGAGGTTTTGAAGAAGGGACTGGGGAGCCATTTGTCTGGAGTGGTAGAGGGTCTCCTGCTTGGGCGAGGGGTTGGACTGGAAGACCTCCAAGGTCCCTCTCTGTTATTCTGTATCCTGAAGGCTTGACCTTCACTTGGCCTCTTCCTTCTCCTCCTTACAGCTCTGAAGATGACCATCAAATCCTTCTCCGGCGTCGGGGGTGACCTGAAAGTCATCCCGGAGCTCCGCGGCCGGACCCTTTACAAGCAGGCCAGCTGGTCCGAAGAGGAGCGGAAGAAGCCGGTCCTGTGGCTGCCGGAGGGCGAGGCCTGCTCCTGCGAAGAGCTGGCTGAGGGGCCGGGCACGGTGGTCCTGGCCATGGGGCACCGTCTCAGCAACCGCCTGGTCCTCTCCTGGGTCCGGAGATGGAAGCACGGGGAGAAGGAGCTGAAGAGGTTCTCCAGGGCGGTGCGGAAGCTGCAGTGTTAGCAGGGGGGGGGGCTCCTCGATGCCCATCATCCTCTGCCCGCTGTGGACCTTTGGGGTGGAAGCCGGGCCTGCCCCAAACCTTGCAGGCAACCGGTTTTCCCAGATCGCAGCCAAATTGGCACCATGGGAGCAGCTGGCAAACTACGAGGAACGGAGCGTTTCTGCTGTGGCGCTACAGAGAAGGGGAGGGGGGGGGATAATAAAGGTAGTCCTTGACTTACAGGAGTTCATATAGTGACCGCTGAAAATCACAACAGAACTGAAAAACTGTCCTATGACCAGAGGGGGGATCCTACCGCTTTTCGGCTGAGTAGGGAGCAGCTCAGCCACCCACAACTCCTAAGCGGTTCTCTCAGCTCATTTCGGTTTTTTGCTTCTGCACATGTACAGGAGCCATTTTTTCACTACTACGCGTGCAAAGCACCGACAGTGTGCCCCTGAGCGATCTGGCAGTAAAAGAATCCGGAACTCAACCCCTGGCTACGACCTCTGGTGCAGAGGGTGGGCAAACGGTTCATACTTATGACGGCTGCAGGGTCCCAAGATCACTCGATCCCTCCCAATGGGGAATCCAGATTCACTTAATGACCAGGTTACTAACTTATCAGTGATTCACTCAACAGCTATGGCGAGGAAGGCCGTAAAACGGGGCAAAACTCGCTTCATCGGCGTCTCGCTTAACAACAGAAATATCGGGGTCAGTTGTGGTCATAAGTCGAGGACTGTCTGTAAAATGGCAGGACGAGGAAGCAAGACAGAGGGAGGGTCACTTTTTGCTAGGCAATCACAAGTGCAGGAAACTGACAAGGAGCAAGTTCTGTTTTTTTTTTTTTAAAGCAGCGATATTAAAATTTGCAGCCTGAATTGCATTGATCAGGGAACAATTTCGGATTATCAATCTAGTGCCCACAACAGAAGCTGTGCCCATCTGGAAGCGACCCCTCTCTCCTCCCAGTGCCCACGGAAGGCCACAGCCATTCCAGCCCTGCTAAATAGATGCAGGTTAGCCGTTGGCCCACATTGGCACAAAAATAACCTGGCAGGTTTCTGGTGGTTCATCCTTGGGCAATCGCCAACCTGGTGAATTTACAACACATGGTAAAACCCAGAAAATGGGTGGATTTGGTGGCCAGGCAAAACACAATTCCTGAACCATATTGAGTCATTGGCACCGGCTCGAACCCAAGCGGATACCAGCTCTCTCAACTGCCCTGCTAAGCAAAATGTTTGTGGATGCCCACCTCAAATGCCAAGTACCCCACATTGGCAAGTTTTGTGCCACTGGCTGGACCAAAGTGATCTTGGCTAAAGAGGGGGGGGGAGCTGCTCAGCGTCTCATGGGTTTCCAGCCACTGGCGCCCCAGAAGTTGGAGAGGGCCTGAGTGATATTTGCTTCCGGTGTTCGTCTGTCTGCCAACCTATGCTATAAGTCAGTGTTTCTCAACCTTGGCCACTTGAAGATGTCCGGACTTCAACTCCCAGAATTCCCCAGCCAGCGAATGTTGGCTGGGGAATTCTGGGAGTTGAAGTCCGGACATCTTCAAGTGGACAAGGTTGAGAAACACTGTCCTAGACACTTCCCCATCTTCAAGTGGCCAAGGTTGAGAAACACTGCTCTAAGTTCTTGGGGCATCCAAGGTGGGCGTGAGAGACCCTANGTGTAGGGTTTCCTGCCTATACAAGGGTTGGACTTGAAGACCTCCAAGGTCCCTTCCAACTCTGTTATCCTACACTGCTCTACCCTACCCTACCCTATTCTATTCTATTATTTCACTTAAGTACTATTGCTAGCAGTTGCATTATGTTATTTGCTGTCCTGATATATTTAATAGAAACGAATTACTAGTTTCTAAAATTCTAAGAATATACAAAGAAATCCTCTTGATGGCAAAATGGAAAAAAATGAAATGGAAAATTCAAGGAAAAGTGTGTATTAAAAATTCAGAAATAAGAAAGAACAGTTGTATAATTGAAAATAAAATAAAGCATTTGAACTACATTTGATCTACAGATAAATTAAGAAGTACCCTCTTTTTGAGCTCCATAATCTTATGGCTAATGAACAAGAAATATACTTCTCAGTTTTATAGCCTAAAACAGTGATGGCTGACCTTTTTGTCCTGGGGTACCAAAAACGCACGTTCCTATACCCATAATGCAATGCATGTGTGAACCCCCATGTGCTCACTCATCTCCCCCCCACGCATGTGCATGTGACCCTGCACCCTGTTTTGGGTCTAGCAGACCTCCCTGAAGCCTCCTGGGACCAAAAATGGAGTGCAGGGGGGAGTGCCACCACTCCATGCTCACCCCGCCCCTAGGCATAGGTGTGTGACCCCACTCTCTTCTCCCACACCTGCACATGCACAGCAGAAAACCAGCTGGCCAGTGGGAGGCTTGTGCGCATGCATGGTGGAGCTGAGCTGGGGCGACGGTTTGCATGCCCACAGAGATGGCTCTGAGTACCACCTGTGGCATGTGTGCCATAGGTTCGCCATCACGGGCCTAAAATAATTGTTACAGACAAACACTGGGTTTTCCATTACTGTCATTCAGAGAATTTGCTTAATCCTGACCACATTAGATTTTCTACTTTTGGACACATCAACAGTTTGATTTGGAATTAAAATCTGATTTCGGCTAAGCTTTGGAGGGATGACATACATAGAGAAACAAAGCAAACATTGGGATTATAATTTCCAAGCAGAGGACCCTATACCTAGAGTTAACCCCTAGATCCAGTTCCAAACAGGAAATACCTAAGAAAGAACAATATTATAAGAAACCTTATTAAAAGCAATCAAGAAGATACATAGCAAAAAGCTGTCAGGTGTCAATCATGGTGACACAAAGAAGCATGTTTAGAATTTGTTAATATGTCACAAATACTGAATTGTGGGGTATTAATTATGCACTGAGTAAGCCATTAATTGTGTCCTCCTCAGGGTGGGAAGTCAGTTATTTTGGTTTGAGGAGACCAGTATGAAATATGTAGAGGCAGCTTGAGTACTAAAAGGAAAAATATGCAGCAAGCAAGTGAAAGTATTAAAATGGTATGACATCTTAATCCTAAAATGGGAAAATCTGCTCTTGTCTGAAGATAAAGATGGAATGTATATACAAAATGCAGATGCCACAACTTTTCTGAAACAGAAGTGATATAACCTTACTTCACTATTTATAATTAATTATATGGATATTAGCACTATACAGAAATATATTCTGTGTCAAAGGGTCCAGGCCTGGACCAGGGAGAAGTCAAAGAAATGCACAGGAGACACAGGAGTTCAGGAATCCAGGCTTCACTTCTCCTTCATAGGCCGGAGGCCAAGTACACATTGAGCACAATGCACAGGTCCGTGCAAAGTCAGTGCTTTGGAGCTATTGCATCCCAGCGCGTTTTATGGCCTGGGGCCACGCCCCTAGCTGGCCTGCCACGCATGCTGGCCAGCAAGCATCAGAGCCCCAAAAGCCAGCATCGGGCCACGTGGCCCCCAGGCCATTGGTAAAGTCCGAAATGTAAAGTCCTGGGCTACAAGGCATCCGCGAAGGTGAACAGCTGATGGGCGGCTGCGGCATGCTCTTCTTTTTATCCAGTGCCTTTCTTCCCCTTCCAGATCATTTTAGATCATTCTTTTCTTTTTACAAAAATGTACTAAAGATCCACCTTGTTAACTCTCCCCAGGTTATGGGATCTTTCATTCAGAATATTTTCCAACAAATAAGAGCATCAGAAAAAATAATTTGTATTTATGCCTCTTTTGACAGGAGGAGGGTGGAATTAATCTCTAGGCTATCAGGGTGTACACACTGATGACAGATGAAGACCTGGCCTTGGTCCCAGACTTGGGTTAATGTATTGTGTGTGGGGGGGAGGAGGGGTTGCTGTCATGCTTTATTTTAATAGTTGTTTTTAATCTGGGCCATATTGTTTTGTTTTGTCTGTGTTTTTCTTTGTTTTAATTTTATTTTGTAAGCCACCCAGAGTCTATTGGAGTGGGCAGTATAATACATTTGATGGATAAAATAAAAAATAAAGATAACAATGCGTTGTCCTGTGTATGTTTGTGCCACCTTAGCATTTCTTCTATGTTTTGTGTGATTAAGTCTGTCTGTCTGTCTGTCTGTCTGTCTGTCTGTACATACATACATACATACATACATACATACATACATACATACATACATTTACCCATCCACCTACCTACCTA